CCGTGTTACTACAAATTCTTTTTTTTTTGAAACAATCCTGCCTGTCCCGCGGCTAGAGTGCAGTGGTTCATTCATTAGCTCAGCACATCAATCTTGCTTATAAGCATATCCCACCGCCTCACTTTACCGAGAAGCTGCAATACAGTAATTTACTAAAGATCAAGGGATATAGATAGAGGCATTTCAAAAGGCCTCCCTAATACAAAACGCCACATTCTGACCATATAAAAATTGGACTAGACGACTCCTACTAACAATCTAGTAAGAAATATAAAAATGAAAAAGGAAAAAACCATCTGGGATTATACTAACTTTACTTTTTGAAAATTGTAGAGGAGAGGAAGGCATTATAACCTGCCTTTTAGTAGAGTTGTCATTCAGATAACCAGAGCCCAGCTCGAAAAACTCTCACAAACGTGCAGTTAGTAAAAAAAGATTACAACGAATTATATCATCACTCGACATTAAGATCTGGACCCATGCAAGATTATCAACTGATAACTGTTAATACTGAACAAACTTGCATGCCAAAGGAGACTAACACAGATAACCTCAGATCCGCAAGAGAAAGATCTACTGTACAAAGAAACATGTGGCTACCACCCTATCAATGCCACTCAGCTTCACAAGGATGGCAACAAGAACTGTGTCTGATAAAAGAAAAGATATAGCAGGTATCCCCACAGCCAAAATAATACCATATCCAAACTATAGATTAATCACTTGTCAGTGGACTGGTTATAGAATTACCAGATAGCGAAATAAAACAGGAGTACACTGCAGTGAAAACATCCATTTCAACGGATATTGCAACGAGAAAATGGTATAATGTAAAAAAAAATTTAAAGTGATGTTTCAGACCAGAAATTTTTATGAAATATTTAAGTTGCATATGTAATTAATAACATTTAAAACTTAAACAATATTTGTTATATAAGAATACTTCGAAAAACCAAATACTTATTTCTTACCCTCTTTCTCCTGAACTGCCACCGACTCTGGAAGCTCTCCTGATCTCCACATCCTCGAGACCTCTCTTCATTTCCACAGGTTGCACAAACTAGAACCCAGGCTCTAGGGCTGATACAAGTAAAATAGGGAGAAAAGAGTGGTTGTTGTTGATGTAATGTTCCAGCCATTTCAAATCAATACATAAAATAACTATGCCTCTCATGAGAACGTAGAGGACAATTGCCTCAAAAATCTTGAATCTGAATAGAATTACATCTTAAGGTACAGATTAGCTAATAAAAAAAAAAAAAAAAAAAAAAGCTCCCTAGGTAATTTCAGTGTACAGGTAAGGCTGAGAGCCATTGGCTTAGAGGAGTTAGAAAGACAACTAGACAGGAGGGAAGGATGTCTCATGGAGGATGAACGTGGACAGACATTGCAGGAGAAGTAGAATTGAGGCAGTCAGAAAGGAAGGAGCAAAGCATTTTATGAAGGGATGAGAACAGTAGGACTCCAGAAATAACTAATAGCTCAAGAGTAACCTCAAGATCTTATTTTTGCAAACCCTTGCAGAATTTATCCCTGGAAAAATGATCTGTGCTAATATAGCAAATAATAAGACATATGACAGCATGGTTAGCACAAAATATCTTGGACTTTTGAGAGTTAGGAGCCTTTGGTTCCTGGCTATGTGATTTTGCCCAGTCACAATGTCCTTCACCCTTAGTTTCTGCAAAGGCTGATATTTAAGGATCTCTTCTAAATATCAGAATTTGTCAAGATAGGAGTTCCTAAAGCATCTGGAGAGACAGTTGCACAGTCTCCCTCAATTCAGGAAATGGCACCACCATTCACCTAGAAACTCGTGCTAAATACCTGGGAGTCATTCTTAATTCTTCTCTTTTCTTCATCTGCCCCCACATCAACTAATC